GTGCTGTCATTCTAACACTGGAAGGCCAGAGATGACCTAATAAGTGTGATGGTGATCTTACTCTTTCTAATCAGTAGATGGGTGCAAGCTACATTGTAAATAAAACAGAAAGATCACCCATCTGGCTATGCAGTGGACAATCATTGAATTATAAATATTTACAAAAGTAAACAGTTCAATACGTATAGGTTTACAGTATATCTAGCCTTAAAATATAAATAAACCAATACTATTGTCATTTCGATGGAGTAGGGAATTCTGAAAACCAGTCAGCCCCCTTTCCCCAATCGTGGGGAGAATATCCTTCACTTCTGGTTTGGGAGACAAAAGAAAAAAAATGGGAGAAATACTCCTGTTCTGATCACTTGAAATTTTGTTTTCACCATCAGTCACAGTGACAATAGTCACCAGGACAAATCGAAGACTGCATCTTCCTAAGAGGACACAGACAGATCACTGTATCCAAAACTAAAACAAAAGTTTTAGCTTTTGAAACATTTTAATACAGATGTCCAATAACAGCTGCATACTAAAAGCCAATATCTCCTAACAGGCCATGTTTTTTAGGATATTACTCAGTGAGAACACCTGCAGTAATCACTAATCCTGTGACAGATTTCATAACCAGTGCAAGACTATGGGATTCCTGGAAAACAATGCTATAAATACAGAACTTGTGGAACTTTCATGAAAAATAAATCTACGGTTAGTCTTACCGGTAGCTGTATTTCTAAGAATCTTCCAGGACAGAAACCAGAGAGATGATTGGCTCTTCAGTCTACAGGAAACACAATCAGACAAGGTTAAAAACCCCTCCCACCCCTCAGTTAAGAGTAAAGTAGAATACCTCCACCAGTGCACGAGGGGAACCACTAGACAACTGAAAATCCAGTAAGGGTGGGAAGTAGGCTTGCTGTCCTGGGAGATTCTTAGAAATACCGTTACCGGTAAAACTAACCGTAGATTTCTCCAATCATCTTCCAGGGGTTTTAGGATTTTCACAAAACGAAGGCAAAACAATGTCCTGGGACCTATGAAACCTAGTGACTACATTAGACAAATATAATGGGTCCGGTCTGAGTACAATCCTATCTGGAAAAACGGTAAGATAAAGCTCCTTAACCTCCCTGGCAGTATTCCCGAGTGCAGCTCGGGGTTACTTTTCCATACCATAAGCGGTAACCCCGAGCTACACTCGGGAATGCCGCATAGCATTACTTACCTTGTCCCCCGAGCCACGCTGTGTTCTCCGGGCGACGCCGACATCCGTCTTCTGAGTTCCGTCCCTTGTGAGCGTACGCGTCGCAGGGGGGGGGCGCGGAACCTGCGGGATATTAAAAAAAAAAAACGAAACGAAAAAAATAATAAATCATACCGCAAGGGAGTTTAATAGACAATGAAGAGAGATTGCCCACTCTTCTGGCTGAAGTCACAGCTAACAAAAAAAACGTCTTTAAGGATAACCATTTAACAAGCAAGCCTTCAATGGGTTCAAAGGATTCCTTGGTAAGATCAGTGAGAGAAAGACAAGTCCCAAGGAGGAAAAAAATTGCTTTGACAAAGGCATAATGCGTTCCGTGGCCAGAAAAAAAAACACTTTTATTTAATGCATCCTCTGCTAATTTATTGTCCAGAAAGACAGATAGAGCAGAAATTTGCACCCTCAAGGTATTCAGTGCCAACTTCTTATCCACACACTCTTGAAGGAAGTCCAGAAATGACTGGAACTGATGGGCTAGAGATCTGATTTTGTGCGCACCATGAGGAAAACACTTTCCAAACCTTGCAGTAAATTTTCAGTGTCACCAGCTTCCGACTGGATAGCAGTGTGTCCACTACCTTTTGAGAACAGCCTTTACTTTCTAGAATCCTCCTTTCAACATCCATGCTGTCAAGCAAAATAATTTTGAATCGTGATGCAAAACCGCCCCCTGGAGCAGAAGGTCCAGTCTGAGGGGCAAGATCCATGGAGGCTGAACTGTTCTTCTCTGAAGTTATGGAAACCACATCCTTTTGGGGCACCATGGAGCAATCAAAATGAGCTTGCAATCCGAGCGACTTAATTTCTGAATCACCTCGAGGGAGAAGAAAGAGAAGAGGAAACACATAGCCTAGGGGGAACTCCCAGCCCTGTGACAGAGCATCCACCCCGCTGGAATCCCTCTCTCTCGAAAAGGAGAGGCACTTTCCTGGTTTTTTTTCTCGTTGCAAAGAAGTCGACCGAGGGCATTCCCCACCTTTCGACAATTTGAGAGAAAATCTCTGGATGAAACTCCCATTCTCCCTGAAGAATGGGTGCTCGACTCAAATAATCTGCTATCACATTGGATGTCCCCTTTATGTGGACTGCGGAAATGCAGACGAAATGCTCCTCCACCCAAAGAAGGAACTGAACAGTTCCTGCCCCTCCAGCTTGTGCTGGAAAGCTAACAAGGCCTGCTGTACTGCTAACAGTTCCCTTATGTTGGAGGATGCATCCACAAGATCCGGGCCTCAAGACCTCTGAGCCTGTAATCCTAGAGCATGAGCTCCCCACCCCTGCGAGCTCGCATCAGTAGTGAATTTCACAGGAGTCTGCTGACTCCAAGACCTGCTTTTTGACAAGGTCAGTGGATTCAACCACCAAGTCAGTGACCGACGTAACTCTACGTGTAAGGAGACGCGATTCTACAGGGAGTCTTTCCGATGATCCCAATGGGATAGAAGAAAAGACTGAAGGTGCCTGGAGTGCAACTGAGCCCATGTCCCTGCTGGAATAGTTTAAGTCATGACTCCCAGGATGCTCATAACCTGTATTAAGGATAGAAGATCCACCATCATAGATTCCTGAACTATGTTTATTATACTGGCCACTTTTTCCTCTGGGAGAAAAAGCTTTTGGTTTATAGAATCTATCTGAAACCCCAGGAATTTTCCTTAATGTGATGGAATCAGTGAGGATTTCTCCAGATTGATCAGCCAACCCAGACTCTTGAGCGTCTCCCTGAATTTTACCATGTCCCGCAAAAGTTCCTCCTCCAAAGGGGCGAACAGGAGGATGTCGTCTAAATACGGAATCAGAGAAATCTGTTGTATGTGGGGAGAGGAGACTACCTATGAAAGAATCTTCGTAGACTCTTGGAGACTCTTTTCCGAAAGGAAACCACCTCTTCAAGATCGAAAAGCCAAATGCTTCCTTTCAGGATCCTTCCATGCACTCAAAACCAAATCTTTTAATGACTGATTGAAAGAGAAAACTCTGCCCTCGGAATCCTGCAACCCCCTGTAAAGCCTATCTTGCACAGAACATGCTTTAGGAGGGTCAGGAATCTGTTCAGTAGTATAAATAGCCAGTAACAGATCTTCCATGTCTTCTAGAGCAAAAAGGTGACGTGGAGGTTGAATCTCCACATTCTCTCTTCCAGGGAGCTGTCAGTACCTAAACCAGAATGCTCCCCTTTCTCGTCTACCCGAGTAAAAGCAGAATTAGAAAGTGAACAAGGCAGAGCAGAACTTCCAGATGGCCCAGCGGAAGCAACTGAGGCGGTAGTCATTGGCAAAAGTTCAGAAAAAAACACTTAAAAGATTGCACAGTAGCCACCATTTCATTACGCATACTGGCCATGAAGTCCTGCATAAGTGATGAAGATTCACTCAACATAATCTTCCGTATACATTGTTCACAAAGAAACTTGCAGTAAGTCAAAAGGTAACTTAATGTTGCAACTGCCACAATGCTTTAGAAGATGAGGCAGAAGGTGCAACTGCTAATTGGGCTGCAGACCTTTACCCCAGAGGTGCATCCTGAAGAGAGAGGCACAACACACTGTATCAATAAGCAATACAGCTACTGGGAGAAAATAAGGTCACCCACCACCTAGACTGCACAAAGTCCCTCCAGAAGCAACACTCACCGCTACCTTGGACCTGGGTGCAGTCATCGCCGGCTTGGCTTCTTCCTCCATCTCAGCCGTGGCGGCGTGCAGCAACTTCCCTCACCCTCCGGCGTCTTCGCGGCGAGGGGCGGAAGTGACGAAATGCCGCGACCGGAAGGGACATTTCGCAACTCCGAATGAGGCTTGGAATGCGGAAGTCCCACCTCCTGTGCCCTCCACCGTGAGGCAAGCTCCACAGTGCACCAGACAGGGCAAAAAGCCTGGGGGAAAGATAGCCTGGGAGTCTACCCCTAGTCTTGGGAGAGACCCAGCTACCCGTCAGGGAAAACAACCTCTGCAGTATAAGAAAGGCAGGGCTGAGGAAACCAGTACCCTAGCAGAGCCACACAGAGGGTGACTGCTGACCTCAAGGCCATCCAGTCGGGATCAAAGAAAAACATTGCGCTGACCCAGACGGTAAGAAACAATCAAGAACTGAGGGACGAGAGGGGTTTTTAACCTTGTCTGATTGGCTCTTCAGTCTACAGGAAACACAATCATCTCTCAGGTTGCTGTCCTGGAAGATGATTGGAGAAATCATTGTGTGCTTTACTCACCCCCCGCAAAAACAAATACTTTAAAGAACTCCAGACATGAAAAAAAACTAACCCTTGCAATGCCTCTACCCTCCCTACTGTGGATTGTCCCTCGTCCAATGCAATTCAATAGACCTGACTTGCTTTGCATGACATATGACGTCTTGGATCTTTAGACCACAGGAGCCTGGGCGGGGGTGGTAGGCTGCGGGGATTGGTTTGGAAGCCAGGCGGGACCGGGGATTGGGTGAGTATACCTTCTTTATTTTAGACCACCGACCAAAAATAGCTTCTTTTTTTTTACATGCCCATAGTTGTTCTTTACAAAAGCATTTAAAAAATAAGGTATATAGAAAAAAATAAAAACAAACCTTGGCCCTGCTTCTGATGCTTCTTCAAGGCAGTGGTGAGACATGATGCCGCCTCCTGTAAGTGTTGAAGGGCAGGATGAAGGCAAGTATTTAAATTTATTTTCCTCAAACTTTTTTCTTTAAGCCATATTTTATTTTTTCAATGGAAGGCCCGCTTTAAAAAAACCCCACAAATATAAAATTTCAAAAGTTTTTATTTCTTACTAGCATGTTTCCCATTTTCAGACAAAATTCACGACTATGGTTTTATCACCTTTATAAAATTCCTAGGATTTCTAGTTGAGCATTAAAATACAGTTGACCAGTTCTGTGTTTTTTTTTTTTCAGTTGGGTGGGTTTCACTCATCATCGTCTCTCCAAAGAAAAAAAAATTGGAGGGCCCTTCAATTGCAATAGTCTGTTTAATGAGCGTTTGTACATTTATTACTGCCTTTTTTGTTTCTAAGAGTATGGAGTTCAAAATGTTTATGAAGCCCATCCTCCACACGCCAAAAAAAATATGGATCATTTAATCCCTCTAATAAAAACAATTCATGAAGTGAATCTTGAATAAATGGCAAGTATTCCCATTTCACTGCATTACTAAAGTCCAAACATTCAGTTTGCTTTTAGCTGGCACACAGGCTGTGGTTTGACTGACGTTCCTCTGAAGGATGGCACTTGTTTTAAAGAATGACACACTTCCTTCTGGAGGATTTCTTCTTCTTTCCATTGTTGATCTTCTCTTTGTGTTTGCGGATTTCACGGACGAGGGTGTAGAATGCATCTTCAACTCCCTTTGAGTCAAGATAATTCCAGAGGATACAAAAAGGGGTAAAGAAAAGTAAAGAGTCAGTTAGCTGGAAAAGAAGCTGGAATTTCCCCCAGATAATGTCCTATGCTGCTAAAACAACAGGATGAGAAAGCCATTTTGCTTACATGATCCCTTCCCCTTTTATATAAACATTTGTATTTACAGCTATCGAACGGTGGAACTATCATTTCTTTTTCTGATCTGCTGATACACAAGGTTTAACCCTTTCGCTACCAAGCCGTGTCTAACACGTTTGACCTCAACTGGGCAGACCCTTTTTGCAATTTTTCACTTTTTGTTTAGATTTTCAACTGCTGCTTTTAGAGAGTTTGTAAAAGACCCCCCAAACCATACATTTTCTAATAGCTCATGACAGGTAGACTAAAAAAGATGGTGCTACTAATTTTGTAGGTCCTGCGATAATTGCGCAAAAGGTATATATATTAAATTGATATAAACACTAAAATCAGTATCAGTGCACACACAAAAAAAGCATAATTTACATTTGGGATGTGTGTTTTATTTCTTTTAACTATTTATAGTTTTTTTATTCTGTCAGGGGGCTTGGAGAAATATCAGAACCCTGCCATTACCCTTTTGTAAAAAAAACAAAAACCCGCCATACACCCTTTTAAAAAAAAAAAAAAAAAAAAAAAAAAAAAAAAAGAGATTGCGGACACAGAGGACATGAAGTGAGTCCAACCATATTGACATATATTAGATATAGTCCACACCACAAGGTGAGCTGCTGGTTCAGAAACATTTGATGGCTGGTTTTCCATGCATGAAGACTATAGGTGGAAACAAGACATTGTTGTTACTGAACGGGTTTAAACTTTTTTCCTTTTTTGATTGACATGGTGGTTGAATATTACACTGTTTGGACTTACTGTGGTATTTGACACATGTGAGATATGGATTGTGAATGTTTAGGATTTTAGTGTATTATCACAATTAGCATTTTTAGTTTGTATTGGCAATGCACTTATTTTTAGGGGTGCAACTAACGATTATTTTCATAATCGATTAGTTGGCCGATTATTTTTCTATTAAATCGGATTTAAAAAAAATACCATCTTTTATTTAAAATAGAATACACAAATGGAGCGTTACAAAATTTACTTCAGAATAAAACAGTATGCACATTTTTTGCACTCGCACTGGAACGCATGGCATTGCAGTACCGCGCATTCCAGTGCAGGTGACTACATTGCAGCCGGGAGGCACTCTCCTCACCACTGGGCGCTGCTCTGTGTCCCAATGGGGAGGAGAGAAACGGTCACATGTGGCCGAGTGCGGGGGAGACCACTGTGAGCGGCCGACGTCTCTCCTCCCACACCGCTCAGCCTCCTGTCACAGATCAGAGGAGAACAGTGTGGGCGGAGACGGCCAGCACTGTCACAGGAGGCCAGCCGTGCGGGGGAGGAGTCAGCTGTCGGATCCTGCTCTCCTCCCCGCACCCCTCACTCAGCCTCCTGTGACAGCCGATCCAGGATGGAGAGTGAGGTACAAACACTCAGCGATCAGTGATAATTGAGGACAGAGTATGTTTACTATATCCTCAATTATGAATGAATGGGAGTGCTCATCACCTCCTGTTCATTCATGATTGTGGTTATAGCAGGGCTCAAAATTAACACTCGTCTGCTCGCATTTGGCGAGTGAAAATATAGTGAGGGCGAGTGGAAATTTGGGTCTCAAAGTACCAGTCTGCGGGCCAACTGCGGCCCGCGAACCGGTACTATGTCGCAGACCGCGTGCCCGACCTGCGGGAGCAGCTACACGGTCTGCATCTCTTTCAGATGCAGACCGCAGAGCTGTTCCTGTCAGCTCCGGCTGGAGCTCTGACAGTTCTGAGCTCCGGCCAAAAGCAAGGATGTATTAGTGAGGTCTGCAGCAGACCTCACGAATTGAGTTAAGGCCGGGGCAGGGTAGGGGTTAGGTAGGGCAACTAGTGGCGAGTAACTCTTAAGGCCTGGCTAGTAGCTCCGGACTTGGAATTTTGAGCCCTGGTTATACTAAACATACTCTGTTCTCATGTTATGAATGAACAGGAACACTCAGAGGATTCCTGTTCATTGATAACAGGGGCTGCAGAAACTGTGTCCTCAATCTCGTTTTCTATTTTAAAAAGGGAAATATCATGCGTCTGTTTAGACCCCGTATACTTCCCTGAAGCCATGAAAAGTAAAGTAAAAAAAAAACAAAAAAATTAATTTAAAAAATTTGAAAAAGTTAAAACATTTCCAGTTTCGGCCTAACTTTTTTTTATCTCGGTTTTTAAATTTTCATTTCGGTGCACCTCTAATTATACATACATACACACTTTATTTTATTATAAGACCCCAGTCATCAGTTTAGAGTTAGCCATGAATATTAACCCGAGAATTATTGCTCTTACTCCAGCGCACTCAGCAATACCCAACATCGCGTCGCACAATCGTTGCTTTTCTATGTAGGTGCACCCAACTTGTGATTCCGTTAGTATATGCGCGTTGGGGTAGTTTAAATTATTTTTTTTGGGGGGGGGGGTTACATTTTGAAATGTATTTTATTTAACCACTTGAAGACCGGCGTGTTGAGCCCCCTTCCTGGCCAGGCCATTTTTCAGTATTCAGCGCTGCAGTACTTTGACATTTATTCCGTCATGCAACGCTGTACTGAAATTAATTTTGTACCATTTTTTGGGGACAGATAGAGCTTTCTTTTGGTGGTATTTAACCACTTGCTGACCGGGGTGTTTATACCCCCTTCCTGTCTAGGCCATTTTTTAGTGTTCAGCGTTGCAGTACTTTGACATTTATTCCGTCATGCAACGCTGTACTGAAATTAATTTTGTACCATTTTTTGGGGACAGATAGAGCTTTCTTTTGGTGGTATTTAATCACCACTACGGGTTTTTTTTTTTTTTACTATATAATGAAAAAAGTATCGAAAATTTTGAAAAAAACCCTGTACATTGCAAAAAACTACCATACTCAAAATTGACCACAGCCGACGCTTTAATAGCTTTTACCGCTCATCAGTTTAGTGTTATCAGTGATTGATGGCCCTAGAATTATTGCACTCACTCCGACGTTCGCGGCGATATGTAACATGTGCGGTGTAATGGATGTAATCGTCGCTTTCGCATGTAGGCGGACTCGACGCATGTGCATGTGGGGGCGGGGGACTTTAATTTTTGTATTGCTTTGATACGAGACTTAATTTTTTTTGTAACTAATTTTTTAAAACCTTTTTTTCACTGAACTTTATTGCTATCACATAGGGAGAAAACAAGCTCCCTATGTAATAGCCAATTTTCAGTGACAGGTCCTCTTTATGGAGACATCTTTAAGACCCCTAATGTCACCTTGGGACCCCCAGAGAAGCTGATAAAGCTGAGACCTGCTTCACTAGCTTCTCTCCGGTTTCTGTACCGGAGAGTGACAGAGGAATGCAGGCAGTGATGTAATACACATCACTGCCTGCATTCCGAAGAGGAGGAGGAGATCAAACGGAGCTCGGGTACTGAGCTCCGTTTGATTTCCGGCCGCAGAGCTGATGTGCCGGTCCCGGGCTCACACCGTGCACAGCTGAGCTCGGAATCGGCAGCAGCGGTGGAGGCGCACACATATTACAAGCGATCGGGCGTCTCTACAGAGGCCCGAATGCTTGTATGTAAACAGCCATCGCTGGCTGTTTACATTCAAAGCCGATTTCCCGCACGTGCCCGCCGCCTAGCGGCGGGCACAAGCAGGACTTCTAAAGACGCCCACCCGCTCTCAAGAACCCGTTGTAATTAAACGGCCGGACAGCAGGTGGTTAATCACCACTGGGGTTTTAATTTTTTACTATATAATTTTTAAAAAAGGACCAAAAAATGCCCCTATGAAATGTTAGGAAACAATTATCACCCTAATTCTTTGGTAAAATATAAAAGACGGGGTCACGTCGGCTAAATAGACACCAAACATGCCAAACCTTAAACATTGCCATCGCCCGCAAAATACTACCACACCAAAAATTGGCCACAGGCGACGCTTTATAGCTCATCAGTTTAGTGTTAAAAGTGATTGATGGCCCCAGAATTATAATTGCTCTAACTCCGACGTTCACGCTGATATGCAACATGTGCGGCACAAATCGCCATTTTCGCATGTAGGCACACACAACGCATGTTTGCGTGTGGGGGACGGGGACTTTCAAAAATGTTCACCAGCTTCTCCTGGGTTTCTGTAGCCAGGAATGACAGCTGAATGCGGAAGTCATGTAACATACATCACATTCTGCATTCTGACCGCCACCGTCAGCTGTTTACATTTGATGTAGTTTTCCCACTCGTCCGAGTGGGGGCGGGGAGGGACGCCCACTCACATCTACAAGGCTCCTGTCCGGACATTTAGGTATGGCCAATGGCCGGGAGGTGGTTAACGTAATTTTGTAAAAAAATGTTTTACCTCATTGCTATCACATGTGAGAGCACATTGGAGGTGACAGGTTCTCTTTAAGGTGACATCAGGGGGTCTTTTGGACCCCTAATGTCACCTTTCCACTTTACTGGGCATTGACAGCTGCCTGATGAGGCAGCTGAATGTAAATACAGCATGCAGTGGCTGGGAGCAATAGCCAGCCTGCTATAGGCCATTTTAAATTGCAATAGCCAATAGCAGGCTGGCTATTGGACACGCCCACTGTCTGCTGTCAGTGGTCTGTGTCCCTGCTACCTCTGCCGATAGAGGCGGGGAGAGCAGCGGGGATTGAAAGGGACACAGATCGCTGCAACCAGCATCAGCGGGGAGGAGAACGGAGGAGTAGAGGGCGGCAGCTGCGGATTCAACTCATCGATTTAGTGCAGGGATGGGGGAGTGCAAGACCGAGAAGATCAGAGGGAGACTTCTCCTTTAGAATTCTACCAAGAGATCTAGATCTACAGCAGTAGGAGAATGCAGAGAAAAGATTAATTTGATCTCATCAGCTGATTTTATCCCCAGTTTAATATCTCGTATCAATTATGAGCAGGCTGAGAATACTAATAACAGAATTCAGGAAGCTGAAGAAACTAAAGAATACAAAATGAAAGCAAGTTGAAGATTTTGAAAAAAATAGCCTTTGAGAACTCACCTGTCTCGTTTTAGCAGAGGTTTCTATGAACGGAATCCCATAATTCTTTGCTAACTCTTGTGCTTGTTTTGTGTCCACTGTTCGTGATGGGAGGTCACATTTGTTACCGACTAATACCATAGGGACATCATCAGAGTCTTTTACTCGGTTGATCTGTTCTCTACAGACATAAAATGATCATAGGTGATATTTTAATAAATAAATGTCTCATTCTATCTAAAAACTGGTGTTCAGATTTGGTAGATGTTGGCAAATGTAATCATCCACTGGTTCCTTAAATATTTCAGTGTCCATTTCTGCATTTAAGCCCTACTTAAAGTGACATTAAACCCTCAGATTTTTTAACATAAACCAATACTGTAATGTGTGCCTTACTGTAATCCATGGTTGTTTCCCTTCTCTTTGCTGCTCTTCCTTTTAAATCTGTATCTCTTCTCATGCTTGGGGAAAACTTCCCTTTGCAGCTGACTAACTCTTCCTGTAGTGCTGGCTCAGGTTGTGAACCTTCACACAGACACCATGTATCCATTTCAGAGACAAGGCAGTCTGCTGCAAAACAGAAGTTCTGTCCAGCATGAGAAGAGATACAGATTTAAAAGGAAGAGCAGCAAAGAGAAGGGAAACAACCATGGATTACAGTAAGGCACACATTACAGTATTGTTTTATGTTAAAAAAATCTAAGGGTTTAATGTCACTTTAAGGTTGCTAAATACATTCCAGATTCATCAAAACAGAAAAACACATTTAGTGTCTGTTTTTTTTTCCCTTCAAGAAAGCAGTCCCTATCCTGAGTAAAAAAAAGCCTGTCACCTGCCAGCATTCTGCAGGGAAAGAACCCATGCTTTTTGTGTGGAAGCAGTGGGCCCTCTGCAGAGGTCTGACATGCCCCCTGCTGAATCAGAACTAGAACTCTCCAATTAGCAGCAGGCACGTTGACCCTCTGCAAAAAAGGCCAATCTTTTCACACAGAGGGCAGGGGATCCTATACTACAATGATTTGGCCTAAAAAGAACCTGTCCTCCACCTGAAGTGGTGCTTGTTTAGAATATTCTTGTCCAGAAATCTTCTTTTGTGCCTAGTACAAGATTACTATCACTTTGTAGTGGTCACTTACTGCATAAGGTTCTAGGTATCCGACTACCCCTTATTCCCCTATTCCCAAAGGCCTTTGTCTTCCCTGACATATAGGCTAGTTCTGCCATGTATAGAACGCTCTGCTGCTCTGTTCAGATAAATAACTGTGAAGTGCAGCCCTAAAGGGGTATCAGCTAGCACTCTAGCTTTTGAGAAATGCAAATGACAGCTTAAGCAGTTTTATGGGCTAGTTATAAAAAATATTAAAGCCAAATAATTTTGTTGGGTGTAACAAAATGTACACTTCACCCTCAAAAACATTGATGTTCAAAAGGAAATCTTGATCAACGATCACCCTTACCCTACTGCCTTAGGCACTGGCCCACAGGTGCTATTGTGGTAAATACAGAACTTGCTATATCATCTTGCTTTTGAATACTGTAAGGCCACCCTTATGTTTCAAAGCTCTACAACCGCACCCTTCATGACACAGGATATGTGCCTCTAACCTGTAATGGTGGACGTCCTCAAAGGACTTTGTGTTATTAATAGCAAAGACACACAGAAAGCCTTCTCCAGTTCGCATGTACTGATCCCGCATGGCACTGTACTCCTCTTGACCGGCAGTGTCAAGAATATCCAGCAGACATGTTTCACCATCTATCACAACCTGCTTTCGGTATGAATCCTGCAGTTGTAAAAAGGAACACAAAAAAAATACACACTAAAATCTATGATTGCCTTCAAGTCAAGGACTTGCTCCAACGTGGTCATTCCTTACTTAACAGTAGTACATGCTATTTAAATTGCATCTATATTTAAAACATTTGGGGTGAGGAAAAAAACAAATAGGGAAGAATTAGAACTCCTGTCAAGTTTTACCAATATCAGGGGCTCCACTGGACATTCCGTCAGTATAAAAAAATCAGGGCAAACAGCTAAATACTATATATGGTTACATACAAATTAAATATATATTTAACTGCCACATAATCTGTATTTTTTTTTTTTTTTTACATCCAATCTTGTACCTAGGTACCTCTGCCACACCACACAGCCATCCAAGTGAAGCCTGGCTCAGTGATGCGGCTTTATAGATCACATTTTGACCCCTAGTCTGTTCACTGGACAATAAATCAGCACCATCATCACTGACCATGATGAACCTCAAGAATTCCGGGCAAATTATAAATTAACCCTTGCAATGGGTTTACCCCCACACTGCATAGGTTAGGTGCTCGTTTTAGTCTAGGGTCTAAATAAAATAAAATAAAAAAAGGATCATCTCACCTGATCCTGTGCCGCTGACCACTCACCTCTACCCCTCTACACTCCGCCTCGGCATCCTTGCGTTCAATGTAGGGCTGCAACAACTAATCGACTCGCTCCAAGCTTGCTCCTGTGATGGACTACAACCTCAATACAAACTAGTAGTCCCATCACTGGAGCCATTTTTAAAACGTTATTTTATTGTTTATCCGATTAATCGAACTTAATAATCGGCTAACTAATCGATTTTGAAAATAATCGTTAGCTGCAGCTCTAGTTCAATGCAAGTTGATGGACTTATGTCAAATGTGAGGACATCAGCAGGGCTTAGTGCGCTGAAGCCTGGGGGAGAAGAGGCTGCGGGAACCGGTCTAGCGGCCAAGCAAGATCGAGGCTCAGTAAGTATATATTTTTCTATTTTACACCCTAGACCAAAACAAGCAGTTAATCCTTACAGAGTGGGAGCAGCCCCACTGCAAGGGCTACATTCGTAATTTGCCCGGAGTTCTTCCACATTGCAAGCTTGGAATAATATAGTTTTATACAGGTATTTGATCGCATATCAAACTGTCCGATTCCAAGCTTACAATGTTATTTCTGTGTACGTCACAGAATGAAGCACTATAGACTGTTCCTTTAAAAACTAAAATTATTACATTATGCCATCTTAGCAAGAAAAATTCTAGTAAAGCAAATGGTTAAATGAGTCCGCCTACAGGTAATATATGTAAATATTGTATGATGGTGATAGAAATGATTTACAAGCCCATATAGTTACTACATACTACTGCTTCAGTATATAAATTAGAATCCACAAGTATAGAAACAAAAAGGGTCTTTTATAATTAGTGATATTTTTGTTCTGAAGAAAATCAGAAAATTCAATAAAGAGCTCCCAACCGATGCCAGGCAGCTGTAGTATCAATAGTATTGTAGAAAATTGCTGCAGATACGAATAAATCCAACCTCTGTAGAAATGCAAGACTGTGTAATTGATTATAATGCAGAGCCATAAATAGCTGTAAAGAAACAAACAGCCAAGCAATGCAACGTGAAATGGGAAGATGATCCAATCCAGGAAGCAGGCAGTTCTTTAGTAGTTTAATTTGTAGAGTGCTCCCAAGGTAGACTGTGAAGTCAAAGCACAAGGAACTGCAAATAACCAAATAGTAGTAAATAAATGATGCCTGTCCACGAAGCAGATAGTCCCACAATGGATGGTTGGTAAGAAATAATTATGCTTCCCTTGGTATGTTTGCTTACATCCTGAAACTGGATAAATCACACAGATATATCCATAGATGGAGCAATCAAATAATGGTATCTCATTGCAGTCATGCAACTTAAAAGTGTGGATCCATGGTAATTAGACCATATAGAAAACTAAGTAATATACTTAAATGGAGCAGCTGCTGGAGAGGGCTCCAGGACCCACAGAAAATAGTAAAGATGTCCAAAATGCACGTGACTCACTATGGCCCGAGCATGGCCGGCATGAGTAAGTCACATGAATTTTAGACATATTTACTATGTTGTGAACAGAATATATTTATTTGTCTAGGTATATATTAGGGATGTCCAGATACCAATTCAGATGTCAGTGCCGATACTTGGCATTTTTATGAGAACTACCAGGGTTGCAGGAGGGACCTGGCTCTGGCGCTCCACCACTGGTGTCCTGATATCATTAGTCTGTATTGTTTTAGAAAAACTGTCCCATGACAAACAAAAATGTATCAGTACTTGCATCTGTGAGTACTTGGACAAGTATCAGTACTTGGAAAAATGGTATCGGTGCATCCCTTATATATATTTATAAAAAGAAAGCCACACATTAAAACAGAGATGTACAAATCCCAGGAGCTCCATATGCTTTTAAAAAATGACAGCTGCCTCCAACGTTTTAAATTTTTCTCTAGCCTAGTCTTGGAACTGGAAAAATATCTGTACATGTACTTGTACCGAGTACGGTACTTGGTATCTAAACATCCATAGTATATATTTGTGTGCATTTTTTAAGGTTTACAAAATAATAAAAACTAGTTTTTAGTGCCATGGTGACTAGCAAACCTTAATATCTCATGAGCTTTAATCTTTTTGGATTTTGGTGTATAGTGCTGGCTGTATTTCCACATGCCTAAGAGCGGTCTATGAAACTTCTTTTCTACTTTTCTACTCTACTTTTTTAGGCACGTTTATAAACCAAGCAAACCTCTCAAAAGCCAATATAACAAATAAAAGTATTCTGCTCACCTCAATAGTGGGATCATACTCATCAACAAAGTGGTTTTGGATCAGTTGAATGGTCAGAGCGCTCTTGCCCACACCTCCAGCACCAACCACGACAAGCTTGTATTCAGTCATTTCACTTGCACAGATCCTTCATAGAGTAAAAGAAGATAAAAGAGAAGTATTAAAGATCGTCAGCTGATTATCATTAAAATAAAAACTTAAATTTAATACAAAAATCGAGTATGGCGGAAAAAGAAAAATTATACTTTGTGTTTCTAATCCAAAAACCCTTTCCAGAGGTGCGATTTACTTTCATGACCTGCAGTGAGCTTTAGTAGGTCTCCAGCAGATAATGATCACATAGAGGTCTGTGTAGAATTCTTGAACAGACATATACACAGGATGGCAGCAAGTCTCAAAAGCAAAACATACCTGACTTCTGGACAGCAGATTGGTAACATGTGGGTGAGCGTAGTTACATTGACCCACCATAATGATCCCCTTTAATATACATATCTAGTCCTAATACAGGACCAGACTAATTCAGAGGGTGGACTGTAACATTGCACTTCTAAAAAAGCACATGTACAGTACAAAAGCACTATATCCTTAAAGGAGAACTATGAGGTGAATGCTTTTCACTCACCTCATAGTTCTAGCCGACCTGTGACAATGAGACTGTCACAGGTCTGCTCAGTAGATCGGGAGGTGAGCGAACACATACCGGCGTTCGCTCACCTCTGGATCCCGTCACGGCTCTCTGCCGTGACAGGGGAGGGGCTTGATTCCCCCCTCCGATCCTCCAGAGCTGACTGGCGGAACGGACGGGGGATGGGGCGGGTACAGCTGGCTCTGCCTCTAGATAGGCAGAGCCAGCTGTCACTCACGCAGCTGGGTGGATCCAGACATAATTGTCGGGATCCGCTTCAGCTGCAGCATCTCAGTAGATCACGGTATACTGAGCTTAGGGTGCTGGGAGGACGCTAGTTTGTGTCCTCCCGTTACCCTAAGGAGAACTATGGGGAAAAGCCTTAACCCCATAGTTCTCCTTTAAAGAATAAGGCCTGGTTCACACCTGGGCGTTTTACTGTGCGTTCCTACGCTCTGTAAAACACTCAACAAGTGAAAACCAATGATTACCTATGGGCATGGTTCCCTCCTAGGCGTTTTACAGCGCGTAGGAACGCGCTGCAAAACGCCATGCGCCCAAAGAAGAACAGGAGCTTCTTGGGGCATATTTGCCTCACGTATCCATTGGGATACAGCCAGGTAGCCCTCGGAAACGCACGTTTTTTTTTTTTACAGTGAATCGCGGTAGAAACGCGCGACAAAGGCACATATTTGATACGCCTAGGTGTGAACCCAGCCTTATGAAGAGCCACTAATTTCCATCTTGGAGCCAGTAAGTCTAAACCCTCAGCCTAAAAATAAATATCCAATCCTGGTTTCTTAACATTAATTTTTGCAAAAAAAACCCCAACAACTTCAGACCCCTCTCCCTGATAGTGTACAAAGTATTGCCATCCTTCCATGGACATTCTTAAAAAGACCTAGTTGAAGCACCAATGCATACAACCATGCCATGTTGGTGGCCAGCCTCCACAGCATCACTAGTTCTTGCCATGCATTAGCATATTGCGGCCCGGAAGTGGTTAAAAGCTTTTACCGCTCATCAGTTTAGTGTTATCAGTAATTAATGGCCCTGAAATTATTGCTCTCACTCCGTTTGCGGTGATATGCAACATGTGCGGCACAATAGGAGGAATCGTCATTGTCACACATAGGCGCACCCGACGCATGTTTGCATGTGTATGTGGGGGGGGCAGGGGACTTTAACCACTTGCCATCCGCCCGTTGTAAAAAAACAGACGGACGGCACTACAGCATTGGCGGGTTGCCGTCTCCAGACAGCATTTTTTCTTCTGCTTTTTTTTTTAAGCTTCTTTAATTTTTTTTACACTTAAGTTTATTGCTATCACATAGGGGGGCTAAGAAACCTCCTATGCGAGTCAATTCACACAACAGGTCCTCTTTATGGAGACATCAGGGGACTCCAAGACCCCTAATATCACCTAGGGACCCCCAGAGAAGCTGATTAAGCAGAGATCTGCTTCAGCAGCTTCTCACCGGCATTCTGTTGCCGGAGAGTGACACTGAATGCGGAAGTGATGTAATATACATTACTTCCTGCATTCGGGGACGAAGAGGAGATCGTGTACTAATCTCCCTTTGATCTTCATTGACAGAGTCATCGTGCCGGTACCAGCCGCACCGGGCACAGCTGATCTCGGGAACGGCAGAAACGGCGGGGAGCACACCCGCATCTACTACAAACGATCGGGCGTCTCTTACATTTCTGACAGTTTCCACACTTGGGTGCGCGCTGGGCGCCGCGTGCGAGCAGGGGAAGGACATCTTAAGACACCCTCCCGCTCCTATAAGGCTCCCGTCCAGCTATTCAGGAACAGCCATAGATGGGAGGTTGTTAATTTAATTTATTTAACTTTAAGTTTCTTTTCTTTTTTACTTTATTGCTGGGAGCAATAGTCAGCCTGCTAGTTGATATTTGAAATTGCAATAGCAGGCTGGCTATTGCACCTTCCCACTGCCAATCAGTTGAGGAGAGACCTGAAGGAGAAAGTTCTCCATCAGGTGCTACTCTGCTGACTGACAGCAGGCAGTGGGTGGGTGCAATAGCCAGCCTGCTTTTGGATACTGCATTTTAAAATATCCAATAGCAGGCTGGGCAGCGGAGGAATGCAGTCACAGCAGTCTCTCCTCCCCGCTGGTGCCGGCTGCAGTGGCCAACTATTCTCATCGATTATAATCGATAAGTTGTTGCAGCCCTACAATTTACATTACAGAACAGATTCAGTAGACCTCCTGTACCAAATTGATTCAAGATGTTGTATAGAGAATCCTCACCATATATCTCTAAATAAAATATAATTCAGAAACTGTGTATGGAGCCAAAAAATATTACCGAAATCCCTCAAAAGAAAATTTCAGTTTGATGATGTATTTTAGGTTAAGAGCCCCAACTTGGAGCCATCTCTATCCAAGCTGTTAAAGAAGTCAGATCTCTTCTTCAAACATCTAGGGCAGCTCAGAGATTCTATTGAAATCTATGAAAAAAAGAAACTAAGACAATGCCAGTAGGGGGGTAGAAATTACTAACTTGTCTAAAGACTAAAGCGGTGGCCCAATCTACTTGTCCCTCATGACAATCTCTGTTGTGATACAGAAAAATAATTTGAACCAAAATCGTATACTATTTAACCGCGCTAAGAAAAGGTCACCTGACCAACGAGTGCTTGCAATTTGCAAGTAAAATTCAAAATCCATAGCGCAGGGCTGCACTGGACGGCACTACAATAGTACATCCATACCGGCGGAGGTGAGAGTATAGAGGGGGGTCAGATTTGAGCAGGTAATTCTAATTTCCCAAATTCCTTGGGAAAGGGAACTTACCCTTTAATGCACATTGTGTGCGTCTTAGAGATCACTGTTGCCCGGCTACCACAATATGGCACACATTGGAATGGGGGCGCACACACAATGCCCATTCACACGATGGCAGGGGTGGCAGATTTGGTTTAAAAAACTTTTTTCTATTTTATTTTTTTTACTTAACTTTACTGCTACCACACAGGGGCTAAGAAGCCCTGTGTGATGGCGTTTGGAAGTGACAGGTTCTCTTTATGGAGCCTGCCCTCCAATACAAGAGATGGAGAACAGCATTGTGCTTGATCTCCTATATAACTCATCTTGTGACAGCAGAGACAGGAAGCGTCGCGATTACAGCGCTCCTGTCTCACCGATCACACAGAGCAGATCGGATGTTCTCTGGTCTGTTCCACACTGTCCATTCTGAAGTTGTTTGCCGTGGTCCCAGGTCCCCCAGCAGAGTGGGGAACCCTGAAAATCAAGCGGGGAGGTGGGTTGGGGGGACAAGCAGGCTACTACAAAATGAGTGGTGGCTTCCCTGCTCTACATTTAGCCCTGCCTGCAAGGAAATGCGACAGTGTCTTTGCTTTGGTGGCAGCCCTGAACAACTGATACTCAACTTGCAACACTACCCCAAAGCTCCCTCCGATGCAGCCGCAACTAAAATTCCTATCAGACGATATATGACGCTGGGGGAAAGTGGTGAGGCCATTACCTCTGTCATGTGACCCTGATCTGGCTTGGCAATTTACTGCTAGACCCAAGAACTGTCACTTGGAAAGAGGTCACAATCACCCCGGTACCTGGAAGCATAGGTATTGCAACAGGCTGCAAAAAAGGAAGGAGCAGCGGGGAAACACTGGAAAGATGAGATATTAGTGGGACGGAGGGGGCCCCTTTGCAAAGGGATTGTCACTTTGCCCTGAATGGGCACAGTGACAGTGTCTCTTTAAAGTAGATGTACACCATAACTAAAAACACAATTTAAGTTTGCTAAAGCATTCTATCAAAACAACTGTCATTTCTTTTTTTCAGAAAATACTAGTTTCCTCCCCCCCCCCCCCCCCACTTTTTT